TTTATGTACATAATGATGTCATGCTTGCTTTTGGTACTCCGGAGAAACAAATCTTGATCGAACCCATATTTGCCCAATGGATACAATCTGCTCATGGTAAAACTTCATATGGGTTCGATGTACTTTTATCTTCAACGAATAGTCCAGCGTTTAATGCGGGGCGAAGCATATGGTTGCCTGGTTGGTTAAATGCTATTAATCAAAATAGTAATTCTCTATTCTTAACAATAGGGCCTGGAGACTTCTTGGTTCATCATGCTATTGCTCTAGGTTTACATACAACTACATTGATCTTAGTAAAAGGTGCTTTGGATGCACGTGGTTCCAAGTTAATGCCGGATAAAAAAGATTTTGGTTATAGTTTTCCTTGCGATGGTCCAGGACGAGGTGGTACTTGTGATATTTCGGCTTGGGACGCATTTTATTTGGCAGTTTTCTGGATGTTAAATACCATTGGATGGGTTACTTTTTATTGGCATTGGAAGCACATTACATTATGGCAGGGTAACGTTTCACAGTTTAATGAATCTTCTACCTATTTGATGGGATGGTTAAGAGATTATCTATGGTTAAACTCTTCACAACTTATCAATGGATATAACCCTTTTGGTATGAATAGTTTATCAGTCTGGGCGTGGATGTTCTTATTTGGACATCTTGTTTGGGCTACTGGATTTATGTTCTTAATCTCCTGGCGTGGATATTGGCAGGAATTGATTGAAACTTTAGCATGGGCTCATGAACGCACACCTTTGGCTAATTTGATTCGATGGAGAGATAAACCTGTGGCTCTTTCCATTGTGCAAGCAAGATTGGTTGGATTAGCTCACTTTTCTGTAGGTTATATATTTACTTATGCAGCTTTCTTGATTGCTTCGACATCAGGTAAATTTGGTTAATTCTTTATTGTATCCGCGAAAATATCATTTCTTTCTATAGAGAAGGGGGGCCGCCTTCTTATATTTCTACATCTAAGATCCGACTTGTATCGTTGATAGTAATAGGAAATGAAGCATTATGGCAAGGAAAAGTTTGATTCAGAGGGAGAAGAAGAGGCAAAAATTGGAACAAAAATATCATTTGATTCGTCGATCCTCAAAAAAAGAAATAAGCAAAGTTTCGTCGTTAAGTGATAAATGGGAAATTCATGGAAAGTTACAATCACCACCGCGTAATAGTGCACCTACACGTCTTCATCGACGTTGTTTTTTGACCGGAAGACCGAGAGCTAATTATCGAGATTTTGGGTTATCTGGACACATACTTCGTGAAATGGTTCATGCATGTTTGTTGCCCGGTGCAACAAGATCAAGTTGGTAAGGATGAAAAATTATCTTCATTTTTCTATTCGTTTCTATGATCATCGATCGTAGGAGGGTCCCTTTACCATTCTGTATAAATGGGTTATTCTATTTGTACAGATATGGTGGAGGGGCACTTTCAATCCTTGTTTGTCCATTAGTTCTCAAATCTTCTCTTTATCGCGGGGTAGAGCAGCTTGGTAGCTCGCAAGGCTCATAACCTTGAGGTCACGGGTTCAAATCCCGTCTCCGCAACATTTTTTTGACAAAAAAAGGAGGTTTGATTTAATTAACTAGAAATTAATTAAAAATGAATTCCTTTTTTTTCTTTTGGGGTTCAAGGAGAAGGAGGAGGGGGGATACACTATACTATCAGAGTCAACTCTATTTAATCCCTTATACTATTATTTAATCCCTTATACTATTAAATACATAAATAGGGGGCGCGGGGCGGATAGCGGGAATCGAACCCGCGTCTTCTCTTTGGCAAAGAGAAATTTTACCATTCGACTATATCCGCATTTTTATCGTCCTTGATACGTAATATATAGATTCCGTTTGGGCAGAGCTAGGTCTGATACTCTGTTAGGGGTAATTCGAAATAAAAAAAATAATAGGAATTCTATATTCTATATCTATCTATCTATATCTATCTATCTATATCTAGAAAATTGTAATTGTAAGAAAATTGAAAATTGTAATAAGTAATTAAGTGACCAATAAGGAATCAAATTGTATTGTATATAAAATTCGAATATGTAAATATTCTATTTATATAATAATATATATTATATATTTCTATATATTTAAATAATAAAATAATAATAAATTCTATTTAATTATTGCTATTGTTTAGTTTTTTTTTAGTTTTACAATATAAGATATAAGATTTTTCCAGAAGTTTGACCCCTCCCTATAATTTTTTTAGTTTTCTTTATTTGAATTTTGGGGACTTATATTCCATTTTAATGTGTCTCACAATCGGAAAAAATTCGGGGGAGGGGTCATTTCATTTTTAGATCTAGAACAAATAGGTTCAAGAGATGAGAGAATTAAGAATACCTACTAGAAAGACTAATCCAATCCATAATGATGTACCGGAAAATACAACATTTTTGTTACTCGACCAACCATCAGGAGAAGCAAATACAACAGGTACACCAATCAGTAAAATTGATGAAGTAGCAATTAATGCAAAA